CCAATGAGTGTTCTTTCATTAATGTTTCTCTCTCTCAAATCAATAAAAAAAAAAATTATTAAAAAATAGAACTGTATACCTGAAACCTATATAATTTTATTAGCCAATGTCACCTCAATAAATTCAATAAAAAAATGTTACCGCCCTGGCCGGTTTTGCTCAATGGTTAGAGCACATCCCATGGACCAGAGAGTGGCAGGTTCAATTCCAGTCAAGGGCACGTACCTCAGTTGCGGTTTGGTCCCCAGCCCTGGACTGGGTCAGGCAGGAGACAACTAATCAATGTATCTCTAGCACATCGATGTTTCTCTCTTTCCCTCTCTCCCTCCCACTCTATCTGAAGATAAATGGAAAAATATCCTTGGGTGAAGACTAAAAGAAAAATTTTTTTCCCAAGGGTAATTGGAAACTTTATCATGTAAAATATTGAAAATTAAATGTGACTTGGAAAAGCATCTAAAGCCCTGGCCAGTTTGGCTCAGCGGTTAGAGCGTCGGCCTGCGGTCCGGAGAGACCCGGGTTCGGTTCCCGCTAAGGGCACGTACCTCGGTTGCAGTTTGTCCCCGACCCTGGTTGGTCGTGCGGGTGGCAGCCACTCGATGTGTCCCTTCACATCGATGTTTCTCACTCTCTCTCCCTTCCTCTCTCTCCCTCCCACTCTATCTGTACAAAAAATGGAAAAAATATCCTCGGGTGAGGATAAAAAAATAAAATAAAATAAATAAAGAAAAGCATCTAAATATGTGACAGAAATGTCAGGATAATGGCTGAATTACTTTTTGTTTTTGTTTTTAATCCTTACCCGAGGACATACTTAGAGAGAAAGAGAGAGAGAGAGAGAAAGAGAGAGAGATGTGAGCGAGAAACATCAATCAGTTGACTTCCGTATGTGCCCCGACTGGGGATTGAACCCGCGACCCAGGTATGTACCCTGACTGGGAATCAAACCAGCAACCTTTCAGTGCACAGGATGAAGCTCAACCAACTGAGTCACTCTGACTGGGCTGAACTGTATTTTTTAATCAAATGAATTCCTTGAATAAGAAGTTGCTCTTACACATGCAAACTAAAACAAAGTTGCCTGTTAAAAACAAAAAAGCAAGAGATCAAGGTCCCCAAGAAAGTGAGTCCTCAGAAAAGCAAGTGGTCACTGTAGCTGGGTGAGAACAGAGATCTTCTGGAAGAAGTGTTATTGGAGCCAAATTAGCAGGGATAGGAGGTTCTGGTAGGCAACAACAATTCCAGGGGAGGGCATTCCAGGTGGAGGAGCAGCCTGGGCAAAGGTATGGTGGTTGGAAAACTTGAACAGGAAACAGTAGGGACATCATAACAGCAGGGGGCAGTAGAGAGGAAAAGAAGGGGAGGTGGCCAGAGGCTTAAAGGGGTAAACTGGAACCTGTAGGAGGTGAGGAACTATGGAAGAGTTTTGAATAGGAAGGACCCTGGTCATATGGAAGCTGCTAAAAGAATCTGATGGGCAGGGGATAAGGGCCCAAAGGCCCAGTGGATCTTCAACTAGGCCCTGGGGGACAGCAACCTGAAGTTGGGGGACAGCATGCATCTCAGTGGCCACAGACTTACCTCTGTCTTCTTAAATCGAGCCCGGAGTGTCTTCATGGCCAGCATCCAATGTTTCTCCTCAACCCTGGGAAAGGACAGGGAGTGAGGGACATCAGTCCCAGCCAGCAGGAGGGTCAGCTGCCTTCCCCTCCCCAAAAGGACCACTACTTCCTCCCTGGGCCATCCTGGCCCCTTGAGCAGGATACAGACATGCCCATCTCCAACTGCTGTGTGTCCTTCAGCTGGGCATTAGCACTCGCTGAGTTTCACATCTCTCACCCTTAAAATAAGGAAGATAATTCCCTCTTGACCAACTCATGGCCAGTCTTCAGTGAGGTCCATAGCACAGGGTCAGCAAACAGTAGGGGTCACCAGTACTCCCTGTGGCCCAAGCAGATCAAGTTTTTTCTGGTCTCCAAGCTTTTAACTGTGCAGTTACTTCTACCTAAAATGCCTTTCTTTTTTCCTTCTCTGGTGACCTCCTATGTATCCTACACAGCCCAGTTTCAAAATCTCATTTTCTGATTGATCAACTTTGCCTCTCACCAGTAGGCAGAGCTTTAATTCACCAAAGTGGGTTCCCCCAGCCCTGCCTGGGTCTCTTCTAACCCAGCCCTGTCTCCACAAACTCAAAGTATCTGGGCTGGTTTTTATCGTCCTGAACAGTGAGGGGCTCTTTGGGGACCAGGCCCAGAGGTGAGGATCTTAGGACAGAGGCATGTTTCTTGGATAGTCAGAGAGAACACCCTTGCAGCTAAATCCCCTTACACCAGCCTGGCTTCTGCATGAGTGAGAGCATGGAGGGAAAGTCTCCCAAGGTGAATGGAGGTCTGATTTGATGGTTATGTGTATGTATGTGCACACACGAGCATGAGGCATGTGTGTGCACGCATGTCTGTGCACTTTGGCTTGTCCATGTTCCATGCATGTGCGAGAATAGGCAGGTCAGGCGGGGATATCTTGAGATGTTTTGCTAGATGTGGGGCTCAGAATTCCTTCTTCTATCTGAGTGGGATTTCTGTGAAGGTGTTTCTTTCACCTGTCCACTTGCCCATGACTTCTCCAAACCATCCTTCCATCCACGTACCCACTCACCTTCCTCCCAAGGACTTGTACATCCACCCACGAACTCACCTGCCCAACTCATCTTCTCATGGTCCTTCACACACCCTTCAACCATGCTTCATTCACTGTGCAACCACCACCCACCCACCCATCCATCCTTCCACCCACCCACCCATCCATCTATCCTTCCATACACCTGCCCATCCATCCATCCACCCACCTATCCATCTACCCACCTACCCACCTATGCACTCACCCAAATATCCAACACCCATCCACCCATCTACTCATCCATCCGTCTTTCATCTATCCTATATTGACTTATATTAACTTACCGTCCAACCAAACATTCACCCTCCCACTGATCCATTCACTCTTCCATCTACCTACTCATTCATCTACTGCCCATCTGTTCATTCATCTCTTCAATTTACGCCATTCACTCAATGTATGCCATTGCTCACCACCTACCCCATCCTTTTTCTTTACCCGGGTCTAAAGGACTCAATCACACCCAGAGAAGAGTGTAATAAGACACCCACGAGAGGAGTCCACAGGTTGCTTGAGCAGGCTGGGAATCTGTGGGTTTGGGGGAGGGGGAAGTGCCCTCATCTAGGGAGCTGCTTCCAGGAAGAGATGACAATATATAAGCAGGGCCTGAAGGCCAGGCAGGATATTAAGCAGCAGGAAAAGAGTACATAACCTAGACAGGGTTAAGGATGAGAAGTGAGAGGTGCATGCACACACAAGTGTGCATTTGTCAGGGTGCCTGGGTAACCCCTCAGTGTGTCTGGGATATATATCGGTTCCTCTATCCTACATGCCAGGGCCCAGGGGCAAAAAGCCCAAGGTCCTAAGGGGAGCCCCCATCCCAGGCCTCCCTTCTCTCCTACCTCTCGTAGCTCCAGTGACTCCAGCACCAGGCCACCGTGTTCACTTCTGGCTCCGGTTACCCACTCCCAGCTGGGCCACCAGCTCGCACCAGCAGCTCCGTGCACTCAGCCCTGACACCCGATCAGCTCTGAGCGTCGGGCAGCAGCCCCAGGGGGCCGGGGATGAGCCGAGGGAGGAGGCAGGTTGGCAGCAGGGCTGCCTTTAGCCAACAAGATCTAGTGGGAAGACACTAACATTCTCCCCTATCGTCACTGGACCAATTTCAGTTTCTGGAATGAACCACTCTCTTCCTCTTCTCCCGGCCTTTGCACTTGTGGTTTCCTCTACCAGGGGCACTCTTTCTGTATCCCCTGTCACCCCAACAGGCTCATTGTCCCCCCTCACTCTTCAGATCTTTGCTACAACATCCTCTCCACCAGGAAGCCTTTCTGGATGCCTCCAGGCTGGGTCAGGTGCCTCCTTGGAGTTTCCTTATTGCCAGATGCCCTCATTGCATCTCAGTCACACTAAGTCACCATTGCCCACTCACTGGTTTGTGTCCATCATTAACCACAAGGTACCACCTTTGTTCTCCAGTGTCTCCTCAGCACACAGAAGTAGGTGCTCCACATGTGTTTCTTTTTCTTAAAAAAAAAATTTTTTTTTTAATTTTGAAAGTACGTTTATTAAAGCTGGGGGCAGTGACACAGGGAAGGGCTTAACATAGAAAAAGTAAAAGGAGATAGCCTAGGGGTGCTGCTTTGGTTCTCTAGAGATGTTAAAGGAAAGAAGTGAGCCAAGGCAGGGCTGCTGCTGGTCCCCTGAAAAGTCAGAGAAAAGGGCCTTGGAGACAGAACTTAGGGCGATAAAGCAGCCTGAGAAAGAAACGGAGAAGAAAGGCGTGGGCATGCTCCAGAGGGAGCCTGCTCAACCGTGTTTCTTAACTGAGTCCTAAAGCGCACCAGCCCGTGACCCTGAGCAGGTTCTCTGGCCCTGGGTGCAGCCCCGGCCTGTGCTGCCGAGTAGGGCTCAGCATCACCTGAATGATACTCATGTAAGTTAGCGTGGCATCCTACACCCGCTCTAGTGAGGCTTCCAGTTGCTTCCCGCCACAGGTACCCTTCACTTGCAACTTCACAAACTTCTGACATGTGCAACGGAAAGATCTTGGGCTGGAGGTCCGAGTCCTGGGCCCCTTCCCTCGGGCTCTATCCTCAAGGAAGGTGGGGTGGAGGTGGGGGTGGAGCATCAGTTCACTAACGAATGAAAAGGGGAAACAGCTGTGCCGCTCGTTTAGAGGTAACTGGGGCGCTCTCGCGGGGGCGGCCGCCCCAGCTTCCCGGGGGCCCGGCCGGTTCCCGCCCCACGCGAGCGTTTGGAAGTAAGCCGCCTTCTTTTCCCAGCAGTTAAAATGGTGCCGGCGGCGTCAGCGAGAGGCGTGTGCGCCTTGGAGGAAGAGGCCGGGCGGCTCCTCCCACTAACGCGTCCCACCCGGTTTCCGGCGGAAGTGGCCTCAACAAGGGAAACTTTATTGTTCCCGTTGTGGTGGTGAGGATGTCGGTGAATTACGCGGCGGGGCTGTCGCCGTACGCGGATAAGGGCAAGTGCGGCCTCCCCGAGGTGAGCGCGGCCGGGGGTCCCGAAGGCCGCTCCTTCCAGGGCCACAGACCGGGCGGGGCCGAGCGGTAGCAGGGCATTGTGGGACTATGAAGAGGCACCGAGGCTAGACAATGGGAGGGACTTCCCACTGAGGAGCTGGTGGGAAGTGACGCCCCTAGCACGCCCCGGGACCCCAACATGCCCGGCCCCGGGTCGGCCGGGCTGGCACAAAGGGAGGGCCCGCTCGGTGAAGTCCTGAAGATTTGATGGGGAGCAGGGGATGTGGTTCTTCTAGAATGACGGCACTACAGGGGCAAAGCCTGAGGGGGGTGGGCGGTGGATAAACGCACTTGGGGGACAGATTAAGCCAGAGACGTTTCCCGAGTCAGGCCAGGACGGGCCTCACATGCCAGCCTGGGAAGTTGACACTTTATCCTGCGGATGATGGAAACAGGTTTTGAGCTGGGGAGGAACCTTGGATGGATGTAAGTGTGTGTCAGACCCATCCAGCTACTCCCAGGGAAGTCCCTCCATACACTGAGACCCCTGGGCTTGTCTCTTCCACTCTGGAGAAGAGTCCTGTTCTGTAAACTTGTGTGGGGGGAGATTGCCTTCATCCCATGAAAGCTAGTGTGTTCATTCTGAGACAGACATTTGTGAATCCCTCTGGAAGTCCTGTGCCTCTCCTGCCTATGTTCGCTTTACTGTATTCCTCAAATATTTATTGAGCACCTCCTGTGCACCAGGCACTTTCTAGGTCCTGGAGCCACAGCAGGGAGCAAGACAGACAAAACTCCCTCATTCCAGTGGGGAAAGAGAAAAGCAGCAAATAAATATAAGAATTGAGATTGGAGTTCAGGAGAAAAGCACCAGGGAGAAAAGTAAAGCTGGCAGTGATGAGAACTGGGGGCTGCGTTGAAACCAGGTGGTCAGGGAGGCATCACTGAGATGACTTTTTTCAATTTTTCTATTGTGATAAAGTACACCTGTCATAACATTTGGTATTAAGTATATTTATGTTGCAGAGCTATCCCCACCATACATCTCCAGAACTTTCTCATCTTCCCAAACTGAAACTGTCCTCATTAAACTCTTAACTCCCCATCCCACTCCCCCAAGCCCCTGGCACCCATTATCTATTTCCTGTTTCTATGGGTTTGACTCCTTTAGGAACCTCATAAAATGGAATCATACAGTATTTGTCCTTTTGTGTCTAGCTTATTGCACTCAGAACAGTGTCCTCAAGATTCATCCCATTGTAGTGTGTGTCAGAATGTCCTTCCTTATTGTTATTATTTGTTTTTTGGTTAATCCTCACCCGAGTATATTTTTCCACTAATTTTTTGGAGAGAGTGGAAGGGAAGGAGAGAAGGAGAAAGAGAAACATCGATGTGAGAGAGACACATTGATTGGTTGCCTCCTGCACGATCTCGTCCAGGGCCAGGGATCAAACCTGCAACCCAGGCATGTGCTCTTGACCAGGAATCAAACCTGAGACCCTTCAGTCTGCAGGCCAAGGCTCTAACCGCTGAGCCAAACCAACCAGGGCTTTCCTTATTAAGGCTAAGTAATATTTCATTGTCTGGATGGACCACATTGTTTATCCCTTCATTCATTGATGGATACTTGGGTTGCTTCATGTTTTAGCTATTATAAATAATACTGCTGTAAACTTAGCTGGACAAATGAGGTGTCTTGTGAGCTAAGACCTAAAGGAGGTGAGGAAGAGAATGTAAGAAAAGAGTATGTTAGGCAGTCGGCCACGGGGAGGACTTGGGCTTTTACCCTGAGGAAGGTGGGAGCCCTGGAGGGCTGTGGGCAGAGGAGGGACATGATGACAGACTGCCTTTTCAGGTTCACTCTCCTCCTCTAGGCAAGGCAAGGGCAGCTCAGTTTGTGGCTAGTGACTGTGGGACACATTTTGACCACTCCCCTTTGCTCTCCCACACAACAGATCTTTGACCCCCCGGAGGAGTTGGAGCGGAAGGTGTGGGAGCTGGCAAAGCTGGTTTGGCAGTCCTCCAATGTGGTGTTTCACACAGGCGCTGGCATCAGCACTGCCTCCGGCATCCCTGATTTCAGGTGTGTAGGTGTGGAGGGGAAGTCGAGGCAGGACCCGCTAGCTGCTGAGGGCTTCCCTGTGAGCTACAGATACCCAGGCATCAGAATCCGACCTGCTGCCTCCTCTCACTGAGTAGTGATCCTCCATTCCCTGGATGTTTGGATGGGAAAGACCCCTTCCCTTCAGACTTGTCCCTTTAAGTCACACCAACATTTCACTCACCCCATGGGCCAAAACTTGGTCACTTGTTTATGCCTATCTACAAGGGATGCTGGGAAATGTAGTCTTTTATCTAGGCTTACTGTGCATAGCTAAATATTGGGTTACTATTACCCTAGAAAATGGAAAGAATCGTGTTAGAGACGATTAGCTCCACAGTCACTTGCAAATATTTTTCTCTCAGACCTGATGCCAGGCAAGTGACTTAACCTTCTGGATCTTAGTTTTCTCACCCATACATAAGCGTGTGAAACAGGATAATGTGTAAACCACCCTATGCTTTAGGCAGCCTGTGTGACAAGAATTTTGTAGCTGAGCCCTGGCCAGTGTGGCTCAATTGGTTGAGCGTTGTCCCATGCACCAAAAGGTTCAGTTCCTGGTCAGGGTGCATACCCGGGTTGTGAGTTTGATCTCCAGTCGGGGTGAAAGGCAATCAGTTGATGTTTCTCTCTCACACTGATGTTTCTCTCTTTATCATATCAATAAAAACATTAAAATTTTTTTTTTTTTTGTAGCTGAAAAGCAGGGTTCTCAAACTGGTGGCCCCTGAGTGGTTCTTATAGGTGCTGAGTTTGCAACCCTGCCCCAAAGGGTAGGTCTGTTGTATTTATATTGTCTTTCCAAGGCTTATTGGGTGCCCAACCCAAGTTCCAACAGCAAAAGAGCTGATTCCTTGGAGAAATGTTAGAATTCTAAGGCATGAATTCCCCCACCCCCCACCCCTTTGCCATAACCTGCCATGGCTCCCCATTGCCACACAGAAGAGTTCCAAGCCCTTCCCAACCCAACCCTGGGTCATCTCTTTAACCTCAGACCCCTCCTGCTGCCATTGTAGCCTTCAGGCCACTTGCATTTCTCCAAACTCACAAGCTTTTGCTAGCACCCCAGGCCTTTGCTTATCTCTTCTGCCTGAACAGCCCTGCCGTTCCCTCTCACAGTTCAAGAGACAGCTCAGCCTCCTCCAGGAAGCCTTGCCACACTCCCTGCACAGAGCCCTCCCTGCTTCCACTGGGCCATCCCAACCCACACGGCTGAAGGGTCTGTGTCTGCCTGTGTCTTACCTGACAAGATCAAGGACTCCTCACGGGCAGGACCTTGTTCCTTCAGGTCCACAGCATCACCTAGCACAGGACCAGGCTCAGTGCAGCAGCAATAAGTGTTGGTTGAATGAAATAATTAATTTTTGCCTTTGATGTGCACCGTTCTCTCTCCTTCCTCCCCTCCCTCCCTTTCTCAATCTCTATCTCTCTCCTCTTTTCCCCCTTTGTCTCATTCTCACTCTCTGTCTTTCTGTTTTATTTGTCTCGAATTCTCTGTCTGTCTGTCTGTCTTTTTTTCAATCCTCACCCGAGGATATGTTTTTATTGATTTTAGAGAGAGAGAGAGACATTGATACGAGAGAGAAACATCAATCAGTTGCCTCCCATATGGTTCCTGAACAGAGATCGAACCCACAACCTAGGTATTTGCCCTGACTGGGAATCGAATCCACAACCTTTTGGTACGTGGGATGATGCTCCAAGCCAGGGCTGTCTATGTCTCAATTGTTCCCCTCTTTCCCTGATCCGTAAACTCTCTCTGCATGTCTCCCCACGTGCCACCCTCAGGGGCCCCCATGGCGTCTGGACGATGGAGGAGCAGGGGCTGGCTCCCAAGTTCGACACCACCTTCGAGAGTGCACGGCCCACGAAGACCCACATGGCGCTAGTGCAGCTGGAGCGTGTGGGCCTTCTCCACTTCCTTGTCAGCCAGAACGTGGACGGGCTGCACGTGCGCTCTGGCTTTCCTAGGTAACACCCCTCTCTCTGGGCCTCGGTTTCCTCATTTGTAAAATGGAGGTTGATAGCAGCCCCTCCCTGGAGAGGTCAATGTGGTGATTCAGCAAGGTAGCAGGGGAAAAGCACTTGATGTGTAATAGGATTTTGCAAACCAGAGCTGTCGTTGTTTGTGCCTCCTGGGCACATCCCAAGAATTGGGGTCCTCTTTTCCAGGTCCCAGGGCATCTGCAAAATCTCCCTTGAGGTGAGGAGGAGAAGAAATTAGGAGTGGGGAAGAAGATGGTCAGGGTCTAGGATTTGCAGTTGCATTTTAATATTCCTCTTTATAACTTTTATACTGAGTGTGAACACAGGATTTGGGCAGAAAGACTAATTCCTTAATACCAATTGTGTTGCCCTTCCTACCCACTTACCCTTGGGGTGATGGGAGCCCCAGTCAGTTTTTCTTAAAAGTAGCTAGATCCTTCACAGGCAAGGGATAAGGGAAAGGACTTGTCTCTGCCTACAGAGGAGAATGAGGCAGCTGTCCCCTGCTGTTTTGAAATGGGCTTGAGTCCTAATGCTAGGCCTCTGGCACAGGCATAAAATTTCTTCAGGAGTCAGGCAGCTCTTTTGACCTAGAAATATCACTAAGTTCTGGGTCTTCATCCACTTTGACATATAAATACCTGAGAAAACAAGACCTCAGCCTTCCTGGCTAGGTGACCCTTGGGCCCTATTCTGGGCTATAACTACCAGGCACCTTATTATCTCTCCAATCAGAGTAATTCACTAGGTAGATGACTGCAGACCTAGCCCTTATGGTCTGTGTAGACATTTCTAGAAATGAAAGCAAACATTTTCTCACTGTATAGCAAATACATTTCTGTGGCACAGGTGGTTAGGACTTTTTATAGGAACACAGAAATGCAGGGAAGTCTGTTTCCTACACACCTGGATATGGCTGAATTGGGGTGTGTAGGTGGATGGGAAGTGGGACAAAGCCACCCACTGGCATGTTCCTTCCCAGAGATGGAGGGAGCCACTGAGGGGAGGAGGCGGGAGTGTATTTGGGGATTTCAGTGCCTCCAATTTCCTGACTAATGGGTTTTGCGCCAGCTCCCTCACCTGCACTTAGGCCACTCCCAGCACCCACTGCCCAGTTTGCAGTGACACCAAACTCTGTGCATACTGGAGGAGGACCAGTCCTCCAACACCAACTGAGTACAGCTAGGAGCAAAACTGGCCACACTCAACTATTTATTGAGCACCTACTGCACTCCATACACAGTTCCAGATGAAGGACACAGTACACCAGACAGATAGAAAGCCCTGCTCCTCTGGCTTATATCTAGTGGGAAGGAAACAGGCAGAAAACAAGATAAATAAGCATATTAAATTCTATGTCAGGCGGTGATCATTGCCATGGAGGGTTGTGCAGGGAGGGGAGGTGGGGAGTTGCAGATTTTAACAGGGACAGTTGGCTGTGACAGTTGAACAGGGACGTGAAGGAGGTGACAGAGGGATCCATGGGGAAGAACCTTCCAGGCCTGATAATTGTCTCCTAAACATACTAAGAATTGGACACTGTCGTCCCATTTCACAGATGGGAACTGAGATACAGAGAGGTTAAGTGACTTGCCCAAGGTCACACAGCAGGGAAACAGTGCTAGGTGTTGATTTCATATTCCTCTGCGTCCAAAGTGCATGCTCGAGGGCCACTCATCACCTCAGTTTTTTCCTTTGCAAACTGGGTATTAGAATTCCCGTCCTTTAGACCTGTTGACATTGGGAGGTTCCACCATGCTTATGGGTGGATTTGGGGAATGGAATGGGCTGCCCATGTGTGAAGGTGGGGTCAGTTATGGGGGGTCAATGATTCCTTAGGCTCAGAGAAGTTGGGCCACCTGCCCAGGGTTGCACAGCTGGAGGAACCAGAAAGAGGGAGTCCATGGATCCTGTGGATGAGGGATTAGGGAAGGCTTCCTGGAAGAGGAGAGCTTGGCACCAGACCTGAAGCCTCAGGATTCGGGGAGCCCACTGCACCACCAAGCCTATTCTCCTCCCACAGGGACAAGCTGGCGGAGCTTCACGGGAACATGTTTGTAGAAGAATGTGTCAAGTGTAAGATGTGAGTGGCATAAGGGGGTGGACGCAGGCAAGGTGTGGTGACCCAGGTCCCTAGCCCATTTTCTGTCACTTCCCAGGTTGGGCTCTGCAAAAGGGCTTTATGAATCTGGGACCAAGAGACCCAGGGTAAGGAATAGGCCTGGGGTGTGACCCAGGGGAGGGAGGTGTGGCAGGGCTGGGGGCCATAACTTCTTTCTGAGGAGGTGTGTCTTCCTCCTGGGGAGGTATATTCATTTCCTGTGGTTGCCACAACAATCACAAACCAAGTGGCTTAAAACAACAAAAATTTATTTCCTCATAGTTCTGGAAGCTAAAAGTCCAAATTCAAGGTGTTGGGTGGGCCATGCTCCCTCCAAAACCTGGAAGGAAGGATCCTTCTGACCTCCTCCACCTTCCAGTGGTTTCTGACACTCCTTGGTGTACCTTGGCTGTAGATACGTCACTCCAGCCTCTGCCATCACTTGCCCATGCCCTGTGTCTTTGTGTCTCCTTTCTTTCTTCTTTTTTTTTTTTTGGTTAATCATCACCCGAGGATATTTTTCATTGATTTTTTTTTTTTTTTTAGATAGAGTGGAAGAGAGAGAGAGAGAGAGAGAGAGAGAGACATCAATTGGTTGCCTGCTACACGACCCCAACTGGGGCCAGGAATCAAACCTGCAATCCAGGTATATGCCCTTGATAGGGAATCGAACGCGAGACCCTTGGTCCACAGGCCAGCGCTCTAACTGCTAAACCAAACCGACCAGGGCATGTGTCTCCTTTCTTATAAGAATATTAGTCATATTGGATCAGGGTCACCCTACTCCGAGTGACCTGATTTTAACTCATTCTATCTGCAGCAACCCTTTTTCCAAATATGGTCACATTCTGCCCTGGCCAGTTTGGCTCAGTGGTTAGAGTATTGGCCCGTGGACTGAAGGGTTGAGGGTTTGATTTCCGGTCACGGGCATGTACCTGGGTTGCAGGTTTGATCCCTGGACCCAGTGAGGGTCCTGTGGGAGGCAACCAATTGATGTGTCTCTCTCACATCGATGTTTCTCTCTCTCTCTCTCTCCCTCTCTTCCTTCCACTTTATCTCAAAAGCAATGGAGCCCGGCCAGTGTGGCTCAGTGGTTGAGCGTCGCCCCATGCACCAAGAGGTCGCTGGTTTAATTCCCAGTCAGGGCACATGCCTAGGTTGTGGGCCCAATCCCCAGTGGGGGGCGTGCAGGAGGCAGCCAGTCGATGTTCTCTCTCATCGATGTTTCTATCTCTCTCTCCCTCTCACTTCTTCTCTCTCTAAAATTAATAAAGGAAAAACAAAAATTTTTTTTTTAAAGCAAATATGGTTGCATTCTAAAGTACAGGGATTAGGATTCCAACAAATCATTTTAGGGCACACAGTTCAACCAATAACAGAGTCGTGGGTTGATGGGTGTGACCCCAGCTCTGGGAAGGCTGAGCCAGGGCCCTTCCTGAAACAGATGTGTCTCCCCTTGCAGGGGCAGCAGCCTCACAGATAAGAATAACTGGGGATGTCAGTGGCAGGGAGCATGGCCCTGACAACAACCTCCTGCAGGTGGAATCTTGGAGACTGGAGCACAAGTGGGAACCCCTACTTGTTAAAATTTTTTTCCATATTTATTTTGAAATTTTTTCAAACCAGTAGAAAACTCAAATCGTATGAAGCACTCATACTTAACCTAGACCAGCAGTTCACAAACTTCCCTGTAAAGGGCCAGATGGGTAAATATTTTCAGCTTTGTGGGCCAGACTGTTTCTGTGATGACCATCGGCTCTGCTGTTGTAGCACAAAAGCCACCATAGAAAACACATAAAGGGCCCTGGTCAGTTTGGCTCAGCAGTTAGAGCATCGGCCTGCAGACCAGAGAGTCCTGGGTTCGGTTCCCACTAAGGGCACGTACCTTGGTTGCAGTTTGTCCCCAGCCCCAGTTGGGGTCATGTGGGTGGCAGCCACTCGATGTGTCTCTCTCACATCGAAGTTTCTCTCTCTCTCTTCCCCCCTTTCTCCCTCCTGCTGTATCTGAAGATAAATGCAAAAATGTCCTCAGGTGAGGGTAAAAAAAAAAGAAACCATGAAGGAATTAGCATGGCCATGTGCCAATAAAACTTTATTTATAAAAACAACTGGAGGGCCAGATTTGATCCGTGGAGCCATAGTTTGCTGACCCCTCACTTAGATTCCTCAATATTATAATTTTGCCACATTTTCCCTTCTCTCTCTGTGTTACCAGTGTTTACTGTGCTGTTCAAGAGTTAAGTGGCAGACTTCCTTATCCTTTGCCCCCAAATCCTTAAGACATTTTTTACCTCCCTCAGACTTTAGTATTCTCTTCCAGTCACAGTGCAGTTATTAAAGTTGGGAAATGTAAAAATGATGATTCAGTCTCCAGTTCATATTCCCAGTGCTCCCATTGTTGCTATTTTTCTCCTGGTTCAGGATCCAAGCTGGGGTCACACTTGCATGTCATTGTCACATCTCTTTAATCTCCTTTGTCTAGAACAGTTCCTAACCTTTCTCCTGTTTTCCATGCTATTGATGTTGTAAAGCAGCTGTTTCATGGGAGGCCCCTCCCCTCCCCACCATTCTGGGCTTGTTGAATGTTTCCCTGTGCTTTGATTCTAGTCATGTAGCCCCTACTTCCCTGGGAGAACAAGAGCTCCCCCAAAGCAGGAACCACTGGGTGGGGCCATAAGGTGGGAAGGTGGTAGGTTTGACCTGGCCCCACCAACCCTCTTTCGTCCTCTAACATAGGCAGTACGTCCGGGACACTGTCGTGGGCAGCATGGGCCTCAAAGCCACTGGCCGGCTCTGCACCATGGCCAAAGCAAGGGGCCTGCGGGCCTGTAGGTAAGTGACCCCTGTCTATGCCCTGGGCCCCTGGGGAGGTGGCAGGTCTCCATACTGACTCCCCCCAACCCTCACCATTGCAGGGGGGAGCTGAGAGACACCATTCTGGACTGGGAGGACGCCCTGCCTGAAAGGGACCTCACTCTTGCTGATGAGGCCAGCAGGTCTGACTCCCCAGATGAGCCCCGGGTGGGGCAGGCAGGGAGAGAGGCCAAAGCACAACCAGCTTCAGCACAGGGCAGGGGACTCCAGCTCAGAGGTGGAGTCAAGAGAGGCTTCCTGGAGGAGGTGGCTGGGATCCTATCTGGGCCTTGATTTCCCCATATAATGGCAGCTACTAGGTACTAGCTCTCTCACACACCTTACCCTGGGCCAGGGACTTCACAGACATGGTACTCACCACAGCCCATGGATGTTCTACACTGGGCCCATTTTACAGGCAAGGAAACTGAGGCTTTAGCAAGGTGACTCCTATGTCTAGTGCTACCCAGCCAGGATTCAACCCGGAAGTCCAAGTGTGGAAGGTCCTGCCCATATCATCTCCCCACTGCCAACAGTTAGGGAGGTGGTTCTAGTAGCAGGGAGGCGGCTGGGGCAGGACTGAGGGAAACTTGGCCTCCCAGGGTGTGCCTAGGCATGTTGAAATAGAATTTGTGACCTTAGGGTTGGAGACATCCCCCCCATCCCCCCACCCCCACCCCCACCCCCTCCAAGCCAGATGAGGCAGGAGGAGGGCTGCAGAAACCCTTGCAGAGAAGCTCAGCTTAACCCTGCCTCCCGGCCCCAGGATCGCAGACCTGTCCGTCACGCTAGGCACCTCCCTCCAAATCCGCCCCAGCGGGAACCTGCCGCTCGCCACCAAGCGTCGAGGAGGCAGGCTGGTCATCGTCAACCTTCAGCCCACGAAGCACGTATGTGCGGAGCCCATCCCTGTCATTACCCCGCCCCACCACCCAATGAGCCCTCTGCCTCCGCTTGACGCCTCCTTGCCCCAACAGGACCGCCAGGCCGACCTTCGCATCCACGGCTACGTAGACGAGGTCATGACCCGACTCATGAAGCACCTGGGCCTGGAGATCCCTGCCTGGGACGGCCCCTGCGTGCTGGAGAGGGCTCTGACACCCCTGCCCCGCCCGCCTGCCCCCAAGTTGGAGCCTAAGGAGGAGCTCCCTACACAGTCCAAAGGCCCAGCGCCAGCCAGCCCCAAGCAGGAGCCCACAGCTGAACCCCCCGCTCAGTACAACGGTTCAGGGCCCTGGCCTCTCATCCCCAAAAGGGAACAGCTGGACAGTCCTGCCCTGCGCAGGACCCCTAAAAGGGTGAAGACTGAGGTGCTTTCCAGCTGACCAGGGGGCCGGGAGGGCGGAGTCCTTTTTTTTATATATAGAAACCGTGGATTTGTTTTTTCTTACTGGTCTCTGTTACTTGCCTTTGACCTGGGGCAGGAGATCTCAGGGCACTAGAGCTGTGCTGCAGGCCCTGGGACAAACTTGCTCTACCTTGAGGCTCCTTTTAGCTCTAGGGGCCTCTGGTAAGGGACTGGGGAGGAGCAACCCTGCTCTGGACCCTGACCTTTGAGCTGACACCTCGGACACCTTCTCTGCCCCGCCCCTGTCTCTGGATATTCTAGGGAGGTGTGGCCACACCCTCCCTCAATTTCTGGCCTAAACAGGAATGAATTCCCTCTGCTCCTTGGGCCCTCACATCCCCATCCCTGCCTACCCCACATGGCCTTCACAGTCTCTCCAGAAGGAAATAGGGGCAGATCCACCATTTAGGAGCTGAACTTCATGATGAGACAAACAGTAGAGGCTTACACTGCCTTTGGGCTGGAGGGAGAAAGGTGGTTCCACCTGGCTCCCTCCAGGCTTCCAGAAAAGTCTTCAGTGCAATAAAAACAGAATTTCTTGCATCTGAGTCTGTGTTTAACATCCACAACCTTGCACCAGGTCCCAGGCCCGGGGAAGGAGTGCATGGTGGTTCTCTAGTCCCCAGGAGACAGCCTGGGTTTCCATGCAATCCAGACCTGAGGGCAAAGGAGGGTGATACCCGTTGCCAGCATTCTTTAAGCCCTCCGTTTGTAATCATGTACGTATTTGCATAGTTTTTAAATGTTTGCCTTCTATACTAGGCTGTGAGCCACTGGAGGAAACATCCTTTGGTCGTGATTGCAGCCCTCGGGACACCTGCGCAAAGGGACAGGGCTGGGGTGGCCCGGAGAGCTCAGGTGCAACTGGGTTCCACCCCAACCTAGTGTAACCGTAGGTCCCTTCACTTCCGACACCCCAGCCTCTTAATGGGTAAAATGAGCAGAGTGGGCAGCACTGCCTTCCCGGAAGGCGGGGGATGCCCTTGAAGGGCATCTGGTGGCCGCCAGAGACGCCAGGACCTCACGCTCCGCCCACTGCCGCTCTCCACGGTGCTGAAGACATGCCTGGTGCCTCGCGGGCCGCCTCTCCAGCCTGGGTGCCTGGGGTTCCCCACCTCACTCTCCCATTCCAGGCTGGCCCAGACCTACCTTCTGGGGGTTGGGGAGCCTCAAACTCCAACCGCACCCGATTCCGCTTACACACCAGCTGTGTTCTGTCACAATGTTTTATTAAGGACCACCCCAGTCTTAGAGGAGGTGGGTGGTGGCTGTGGGCCATGGCCATCCTGAAGTTCAGAGCTCAGCCAGTGCTTAGGGGCCAGGGTCCTTGCAGTCTCAGCTGCTTCCTACACCCTGTGTGTAAAGGGACAGGGAGGAGTCCCAGGCAGGGCAATTGTTGAGGCATGTGTGTTTTCTGTCTGTCTGGGTCTGTGGATCACTCTGTATGTATCTGCCTGTTGCCTTCTGTGCCTGGGTCTGTGTGTGTATTTCTCAGGTTTTGTGGCCTTATGGTTGCCCGGTGTCTGAGTGTCAGTTTCTGCTCCTGTGTCTGGGTCCCTAGGTGTGTAGCTGTAGTTTGTGCATCTCCGTCCTGGCATCTCCACAGAGGTCTCTGCCTCACCTCCAATCCCCTGCCTCTCCACTGTAGCACCCACCACAGTGCCCTTGGGGAGAGGGGGACTGGGGTCATGTCCAGGTGGTGCTCACAGTTCCTCCCCCACGGTCTCTAGCCCAACTCGGCCTGGGCTGAGTGCTGGCTCAGGCGAGGCCCAGTCCAGCAGGGTGGCCCGGCTCAGCTCCTCTGTCCAGTTGCCTTGGACCAGGGTCGACTTGTTTAGCTCTTCCATCGAGTTGTCCAGAGCTAGCATGTCCCGGGACTTCCAGTGCACCCTGGGGCTGCCTGGAGACCCTCCCTGGGGTGCGCCCACCTCTGGCTGAGGTCCTGGGTCCTCGGAACCTGGTGTGGTATCGGGGGCCACACGGGAAGCAGCATCGTTGTGCAAAGTTCTGGAGAAAACTGAGCAAGGGGTGGGGGTTCATGAGGAATGGGGGGGGCTGGTGTTCCTTCTTTCCTTATCTCCCAGCTGCAGGGGAGGCTCCTTCCCTCCCCCCCAGAGGCCCAATATGGGGACTTAGGGAGCCAAGGGGATTGTGCCCATAGTGCAGCCCAGAGGGAACCCCAAGTCAATCCTGGCCCACCTACCTCGCACAGGTGTGAAGTCTCCGGGGCTCTCAGCTTTGTTGGGAGCAAAAGGGCTGATGGAGGGGAGGACGATGAGAGCGAAAGAGAGAAGCAGGACCTGCCAGAGATGGGGGCAGGGTCACCCCATCCCTCCACCATCCCTGTGAGTACACCCATCTTATGGGCAGGGAATCTGAGGCCCAGAAGACTGGATTACGCTTGAATTGGGGCTGGGGCCATAATACTCTCTCTCACCTTCCCCCTCCCAGAGGCTGATCTTCCAAGGCCTATGACCCCCTTTATCCTGGGGGCCATCAGAGCAGCAGGAGGGACTCACCGCTATGCAGGTGCCTGCCTGGGCTGACTTGCTGGTGGACTGGACTACAATGGCCTGAAGTTTCTTCAGCTGCTCCAAGAGGGACCTTAGTGGAATGAGCAGACTTGGCTGAGCCCTGCAGGGCCTTAGCCTGGCTCCCTGTCCATTTCTGGGGTCCTCTAGCATGGCTGATGTCTGAATTTTGTCCATTCCTCAAGGCCCCACTGCTTTTACAAGTTCTAGACCCTCCCTCTTTGCTTTGATAAATCTCCAGTGACATCCCACCTGCTTCTCTGCCACCCCATCCAGGCTGCCAGCCTAAGCCTCCTCTCTGGTTCCCCCCATCTCTCACCCCCACCCTCCCACACTTCCTCTCCTGACCCCCACTTAACAACCAGGGGCCCCTTTTCAAATGTAAAACAGCTTCTCCTAATCCTCTCTGGGCTCCTACCTCCCTCAAGTCCTCCCTGAAACTGAGGTCCTATACAATTTGCCCCTGTTCTCTCCCTGCCCTCTCCTCCTCCCTCTCTCCCCCTCACTCACTCTGCTCCAGCCACACTGGCCTCCTCCCCATTCCTCTGACATGCCAGGTACAGTCCTGCCCCAGGACCTTTGCACAGGCTATTCCCTTTAAGGACACTGTTCCCACAGGTCTTTTTGCAGTTGTTTTTTTCTCATCCCTTAAGTCTCATCTCAAATGTCACCTTATCTGACCTTCCTGTCTAAAATAGCCCTTCAGCCCTGGCCGGGTAGCAAAGTTGATTAGAGTGTTGTCCCAATACTCCATGGTTGCAGGTTTGATCCCTGGTCAGGGCACATACAAGAATCAACCAATGAATGCATAAATAAGTGGAACAACAAATCAGTCTCTCTCTCTCTCTCTCTCTCTCTCTCCCCCCCCCACCCCCCTCAAATCAATATAAAATAAAATAGCCCTTTACCCTGCTTTATATTTTTCTTCCCACTGGCTATCACTATTTGCATGATCTTTTATAAATTTTTGTTTGTCTTGAGTATGCCTTCCACTAGACTGTGAGTTCTTTAAGTGGAGGGACTGAGGGACTGTGTCTTCCTTGTTCACTTTTGTGGTCCCAGTGCCCAGACTATACCTGATGCAGAGTAGATACTAAATAAATTGACTAAATAGACTCACCCCTTAGATGGAATTCTGTGCAGTTCTCCAACACACATGTACCTAGCCTCTGGCCATTCATATGCCATTTCCTCTACTGGGAATACCTTCCCCCCTATGAACTCTTATACATCCTTCAAGACCCCAAAACCAAATCCCCTCTGCTATTCAACCTGCCTCCTTTCTAAGTGGAACCCTCACCCCCTGCTCTGCCCCGCCTCACAGAAGACACCACACACACACACACACACACACACACACACACACACACACTTTGTTCACCTCTCCTGCAAGGGATTTGGGGGCTGGCTCCCCCTATCATCTGCCATGGTTGATGACAAGACTCACCGGTTCTGCTTCTCAAGATGCAAGACTTTCCTCTGAAGCTCCTGGTTCTGGGCAGTGCAGGTTGACATCCTGCAGGGATAATGTCACGGTGACATTCAGAACATGCTGGTCATCAACTGTCCCAATGACATATTCCTGTGAGGCCCCATCTTACAGGCAGGAAACCCAAAGCCAAAGAGGGAAGTCACTCATTCAAGTTCACCCTGGCAAGTCTATGAGAGGACCAGAATCTGAACCCATGTCTCCAAGGTTCCTAGATCCCACCTAGATCCCAAGTCTGAGCCCCCAGGATTGGCATGGAATGTCTAACTCAGGCAGTGATGCTTCCAGAAGACAAAATAGCAGGGAGACTGGGAGTCCCAGGAGAACCAAGTTATAATCCTCACCATCGCTGTGACCTTGAGATACTCAGCTCTCTGACCTCAGTCCCCTCGTTCGTAAATGGGGTTACAATTACCTAGTTCACAGAGTGGTTGGGAAAATAGCTTGAAGTAAAGCTGACTAGGGGCTTAGCATATTGCATTTGAGGAACAAGACAATGATTATTCCATCTAGGGTGCTGGGGTCCAGCCTGGGGACCCCACCTTTCCCATCTGCATTTGTCTGTGAATATGGTCATGGTCCATACCACTCAGATGAGGAGTTGAAATACTCAGATCACAGCATGCGATGTGTCTGTCAGTCCTCATATCACAACCAGGGAAGAGAAGAAATTCCCTCACTGCAAGGTCCTCCTTCTAAACAACTCACAACATAAAGAATTACATTAGCCCTGGCGGGTTTGGCTCAGTGGTTGGAGCATTGGTCTGCGAACCAAAGAGTCACAGGTTCAATTCCAGTCAAGGACAAGTACCTCGGTTGTAGTTTGGTCCCGGCCCTGGTCAGGGTCATGCAGGAGGCAACCAGTCGATGTGTCTCTCTCACATTGATGTTTCTCTCTCTCTCCCTCACACTCTATCCAAAAATAGATGGAAAAGTATCCTCGGGTGAGGATTCAAAAAAAAAAAATTACATTAGCCCAGCCAGCGTGGCTCAGTGGTTGATCATTGACCCATGCACCAAGAGGTCACGGGTTTGATTTCCAGTCAGAGCACACACCCGGGTTGGGGGTTTGATCCCCAGTAGGGAGTGTGCAGGAGGCAGCCAATTGATGTTTTTCTCTCATCAATGTTTCTAACTCTCTTCCTCTTCTTTCCCCTCTCTCTAAAAATCAATAAAACAATTTTAAAAAAGAAGAATTCATTAGAGAAAACCTAGGGTCCACATGATAATGACAGAAGTACAAATCAAAATGCCTGAGATGCAACTAAGGTGGTGCTGAGAGGGAAATGTATAGCCTTAATTCAGCTCAATGAGCTTAACATGCACATTTAAAAACTAGTGAAAGAACAATAGCGTAAACTACACACACACACACAACAGTCTAGGAAGGATATAACAAAGCTTACAGTAGAAATGAAAAAACTAGAAAAGAAAAATACAATTAGGTAGGAAATCCATTCTTCACAAAGAATAATAAAATAGACAAACTTCTGGCAAGATTGATCAAAAAGATAAAAGAGAAAAAGAAGGCACAAGTAAACAAATGAATTATCGAAAAGGGTATAATTATAGATGGCTCAGAATTTGAAAAAATAATAGGAGACTGGCTTGGCTGGTTTGGCTCAGAGGTTTGAGCGTCGGCCTGTGGACCAGAGAGTCCCGGGTTTGGTTCCCGCTAAGGGCACGTACCTCGGTTGCAATTTGTCCCTGGCCCCGGTTGAGGTCGTGTGGGTGGCAGCCACTTAATTTGTCTCTCCCACATTGATGTTTCCCTCTCTCTCTTCCTCCTTCTTTCCCTCCTGCTCTATCTGAAGATAAAGGCAAAAAACGTCTTGGGTGAAGATAAAAAAATAATAGGAGATCCCAGCCAGTGTGGCTCAGTGTCTGCACATCCACCTATGCACCAAGAGGTCGCCAGTTTGATTCCCGGTCAGGGCACATGCCCAGGTTGTGGGACCAGTCCTCAGTGGGGGACATGTGGGAGGCAGCCAATTGATGTTCTCTCTCATCAATATTTCTATCTATCTCTCTCCTTTCCTCTCTCTAAACTATCAATAAAGAAAAAATATTTAAAAAATAATAATAGGAGAGAACTATAAACCATTTAATGTCAATAAATTTGAAGTAGGCAATTTCACAGAAAAATATAACATCCCAAAACAGACCCAGGAATAAATGGAAAACCCAAATAGACCTTTAACATTCTAGCCCGGCTGGTGTGGCTCAGTGGTTGAGCACTGACCCATGTACCAAGAGGTCCCTGGTTTGATTCCTGGTCAGGGCACATGCCCAGGTTGTGGGCCTAATCCCCAGTGGACGGCATGCAGGAGGTGGCCAGTTGATGTTCTCACTCACTGATGTTTCTATCTCTCTCCCTCTTCTTTCCTTTCTCTCTAAAATCAATAAAGAAAAAAATTTTTTTTTTTAATTCCATAAAGTCACTCTTGGCCGTCACAACAGCTCGGAGGCCCAGTGATCTCAGACAAAGGAAGTAAACATCCCACAATCCCATGTTATGGAATAGAGCTAGAACAAAATGGGTAATACCTCCTCCTTTCTTGGCAGCACCATATTTTAGGAGATAAAGGGACCCTGAAACCCTTGCCCTGTGCCATCTCTAGGCATATTCCCATCCTTGCAGCTCACTTGCAAAAAGATCTCAGGCCTTAAAAACTGTGACCTTAGGCCCATTACATCCCTTTCTCTGGGCCTCAGGTTTCCCCCTGAGTGTGAAGTCCCAGGACCCAGCCTTACCGAGTTTCCAGGCCATCAATATATTCCTTCTTCTTTTTCCGGCTTTCTTGGGCCGACTGTTTGTTCCGGATTTTCCTGCGGATTTTTTTCAGCACTCGCTCCTCATACTGCCAGGTGACATGGGGAGAAGGCTGAGTCAGGCTGGAGGGTCTACTCTGTTGTCTGGACCCCAAAATTTCACCCTATTCTCTTCCCATGGGAGCCATCCCAGACCCCGGGATCTGGAGAGCAGATTCCTGATGACTTTAAGACCAGCTTTCCTGCCCCCAAATCTTGCAGAGTCTCTAGGAGGGTGCTGGGTCCTGGTAATCTTCCCAAATCCTATTCCCAGTTAGTAACTGCTACCAAACTCTGTGTATGGTGTAATTGCGCCACCTTCTGGTCATAGCTGAGAACCGTGATTTTCATGGGGCCCGCTAATAACAACGTTAAGTCAAGTCTTCCCATTGGAATAGCAAACTCCAGTGTTGATATTAAGGGAACGGGCTGGATGGGAACTGTGGCAAAATTCAGAGGTCCCAGTAAGTTGGCTTTCTGGATGATTTTTTTTGACTCTGGTGACAGACACATCCTAACATTCTAGTGTGGGAAGCCTAAAGGTAAGACTCATGAGCAGAAAGGGGGAGAGACCCAGACAAGGGTCTCACCAACTCACCTTGGTGAGGGGCAGCTGGGTGGGCAGTGTGATGCCTTCTTTGGCCAACAGTTTCTTCTCATCCTCTGTCAGCACCAGCTCCTGGCAATGCCCAGTTCCAGGTCTCAATAGGTGGGGAGCTGCCAGATGATGCTGTTGCTATGGGGGGAAAAATGCATTGGAGGCAGAGAGAGTGAAAGTCTTTGGGAAATGAAAGAGACATCAGAATAAGAAACTATTAATCCATCTTATCTAGAGTCCCCACTGATACTAGGGCTCAAGAGCCCAGCACACAGCACTTTGACCCAGCAATTCCACTTCCAAGAATTGATCTTACAGATATCTTCACACATATGCAAAAGGATGGACATAAAGGATTTTCATTCACTTAACAAATAGTCAGCAGACAGCTACTGATAGTCACCTACTACATTCCAGGCACCATTCTGGGCTGTGCACATTCATTGTAACACTATCTACAATAGCAAAGGGTTGGAAGCAATGAAAATAGCCAGCAAAGAGGGGACAGGTTAAACAAGGCATGACCCATTTGTACAATGAAGTACTACACAGCTGTGAAAAGGGATGGGTTCTTTGTCATGCTACGGAGCAATCACCATGATACACTGTCAAGTTAAAAAATATAAAGGGGGTGCCCTGGCCGGTTTGGCTCAGTGGTTAGAGCATCCGCCTGTGGTCCGGAGAGACCCGGGTTCAGTTCCCACTATGGGCACGTACCTCGGTTGCAGTTTGTCCCCGGCCCTGGTTGGTCGTGCGGGTGGCAGCCACTCAATGTGTCCCTTTCACATCAATGTTTCCCTCTCTCTCTCTCTTTCTTTCTCTCCCTCCCACTCTATCTGTGCAAAAAATGGAAAAATGTCCTCGGGTGAGGATTAAAAAATATATATATATATATATAAAGGGGCAAAACATTGTTACATGTGGCATGCTACTTTTTATATTAAATTTTTTAAAAAGGCATCTCTTTGCCTTGGCCAGTGTGGCTCAGTTGGTTGGGCGTCATCCTATGCACCAAAGGTTGCTGGTTCAATTCCCAGTTGAGGGTACATGCTCCAGTTGTGGGCTCTGTCTCTGGTAGGGGGCAGCCAAAAGATGTTATGCTCTCACGTCGATGTCTCTGTCTCTCCCTCTCCCTTTCCCTCTCTCTGAAAAATAAATAAACTAAAACAAAAACAAAAAAGGGAAAAAAATCACCTCTTTAGAAGAAAAAGTTGTGTGAGGAGCTGGGTGTCTGGGCAACTGAGGTAAGAGGGTGGTTCTCCCCATTTACTATTTGTTTCCTTGGAACTTGGACTGTGTGGATGCATTTCCCTATTCAAAATATTTTAAATTAAATTTAAATTATTAAAGATAAACATTAAAAATAAGAGAATCTTGTCACCAGAATGTTCAAGTCTTAGAAATATCATATTTCTAAGGAATGGAAGACTCAGGAATAAAGATGGATATTGGGGCCATCTGTCATTCTTCGATCAAACTCCACTATCTGGAACTGCAGGTCACTGATTAGCCCAACCCTTTCTCTCCAGAGTCCAAGTCCCAGTGTCCGTAAAATGAGGATAAGGTCTCCCACATCCCAAGGTTGTTGACATGCAGAACAATGATACTGAATATAATGCATTTATAAAACCCAGTTAGCATTTCCAAAGCAATCATTCTTTTTTCCTATCCTTCAAGGCCTGCTGGAGTGCCACCTCCTCTAGGATGCCCACCAGGACCTGCAATGACCCACCAGCCTCTCTCCCTCATTACTACACTTCCATGAGCAGTTAATTTTCCATCTTGACCATGAGATTCCCAAAGGCTGAGCACACAGCTGGTGCTTGCTACACATCTTTCAAGTTCACAGGGGCATTTCAGTCTTGCCTAGAGATTGTCAGAATGACTTTTGGTATCAGACAAACTGGGGTTCAAATCCTATGGGGCCACTTGCTTGCTGTGTAGCTTTGGGTTTAACCTCTTTGGGCCTTGACTTTCTCGTCTGTGGAATGAGGGCGCTAATTGGGTTGTCAGATCTGGTTTACAGGTACTTGAAGCCCTTGGCAAGATAGATGGTCCTCAATCAGCATGCAATGGGCACGACAGGCCCAACAAGTCAGCCCAGGGATAGAGCCTGCAGCAGCTATGTGACTTGGGGCAAATTACTTAACTTCTCTGTGTCCACTTCTTCATATACAAAATTAAGATAATAAGAGCCCCAATCTTCAGGGTTGCTGTGAATTAAGATGATACATTTAAAGCATTTAGAGGAGTGCCTGGCTGATAGTAGGTGCTTAATAAGTTTTAGCTTTTTTTCTTTTTCTTCACTACTGCTACAGTAGATGTCCCAGCTCAGGAGATAAAGAACTCAGGACCCACAGACTTGCTCTGGATATGACCCTGGACAAATCCAGCCTTTGTTTGTGAGTTCATTTTCCAGTCTCTAAAATGGGGTTATTGGGTCTCCATGAACCCCAGTGGCCCTCTCAGCTGTGATGCTTGGAGTTGGGGTGGAGGCTGCTCACCAGGTCCCCACCACTGCCGGAGAGGAGGAGGTCTTTCACCGTGAGGTTGCCGCTTGGGGGCGAGACTGCCAGTTCAGCCTGCTCCTCAGGATAGAGGCCCGGGTTCCACATTTCTGACCAGGGCAGGTGGGAACAAAGACAGGGAGGGTGTCAGGCAGGGGCCTCTGACCTCCTAGCTTTTACCTGCCTCCTCCAGCAAAGCTTCCAGGATTGACCCCAATGTGCTGACTTTTGGTACAGCCTGGGGCCCCAAGGCCTGGGTTAAAGGGGACAGCACCAGCTGGTGCCTCAGTTTCCCCTCTGCTGCAAAATAGAAACCCGAATTCATCAGGACATTATTGAGGGACTTACTGCCAATGCAGGAGAGAGCAGCTGTTATCACCCAGGATTGCAGACTAGATTTGCAGCCAGCCAGGTCTTATCTCCCTTTGGGGCAGGGACTAGATCTGATTCACCTCTGGTTCCCTCCCTCCTGGTGCCTGGCCCACTGTGAGCTGCTCCGCAGAGCACCAACCTCAGAGTCAGATAGCCCTGGATTCTAATCCTCACTAGGCAAAGTGTGTGACCTTGGGTCTCTGAGCCTCTGTTTTTTCAAGTCTCCAATGGGACTCATAAGAGCTCCCACCCCACTGCAAGACTCAAAGGACAAAGGACACCCTGTATAAGGCCTGCCCCAAGAGGACAGCCTTGAGGACCGGGATCCACGACCTCTCTCACTTTCATGGAGCATCTATATGACCCAGGCATGGGAGGTACAAAGATGAGGTCACCTGCATGACACCTGGTGCCATAGTCAGCCTGCTATGGGTGCATTCCACCTCCGTGGCTTTGACTTGTGGCTTAACCTCGTGGGGATTCAGTTTTACCATCTGGACAATGGGCCCACAACAGCATCCATCTCAAAGAGTGAGTGTGTGTGTAATGAGGTGAGAGCAATGAGAGAAAACACAGAACTCACCTAGGTCTATGGCCACGGAGGCCTCGAGCACTTGGGCCACTGGCCCAACAAGGGGCTTGAGGGGGCTGTGGGGGGCAGGATGGTAGGAGGGGCAGAGCCCCTTGCCAGACTCTGAGAAATGGCAGCCGGTCAGGGTGGCGGCAGGTCCATTGTGTGGAGGGGTATCCTGGGGATCGGAGGGCAGGTCTTCAGAGATGCCGCTGTCACTGTCCGCAGGAGACCAGAGAGGAGAGCTGGGCACTGAGTCTCCAGAACCCAAGATACAGCTGAGGAAATCATCAGAGTCCGGGGCTGGCAGGACCTGCTGGGATGGAGGGGGTGGGGCAGGAATGAGGAGGTCTGCGCTTTGCTCTGGATTGCTGTGTGACTCTGGGTAAGCCACTGACCCCTGCTGGGCCTCACTTGTTCTTTCTTTCTTTCTTTTTTTTTTTTGATATTTTGTTCAGATAGAGTGGGAGGGAGAGAGAGAGAGAGAGAAACATTGACGTGAAAGGGACACATGGAGTGGCTGCCACCCACACAACCCAACCAGGGCTGGGGACAAACTGCAACCAAGGTACATGCCCTTAGCGGGAACTGAACCCAGGTCTCTCCAGACCGCAGACCAACGCTCTAACCGCTGAGCCAAACTGGCCAGAGCTTCACTTGTTCTTTCTACAAGATGGAAGGTTTGTGGAGCTTGAACACAATCATGTGGCATGAGAACACCATCCAGCCTCATCAAGGCCCAAGCCCTGAGTTTGAGTTTGGACCCAACTCCAAACTGCTGTGTGACCCCAGACAGGTTACTGCCTCTCACTGGGCCTCGGATTTGTTACTTTTAAGGCACCAAAGCTGCCTGCCCCTTGGGGTAGCTGAGAAGTTCAACACAATAACGTGCTTTGCTAAAATTACACACCATGAGCCGTTAATGCTACCAAGCTGAGTGGAGTCCTGCCTGCAGCGGGGGCCTCACCTGGTCTCCAGCATGGCACCAGTCCTTGCCCATATCGACATGTCTCAGAATTCCATCCTGCCGATCGAACAGGAGATCCAGGAGCTCCAGGCTGTTGATGGGGTCCATGGGACAGGTGGAAGAAGCCATCTGAGGCGAGGAGGGGACAGCATGAGGGTCACACAGCCCTCACCTCCCCATCTCCCATCTGCCTACCACTCTGGGTCTGTCCAGCTCAAGTTCAATTTCTGCTCAACCGCTAGGTCTGACTTCCACCTTCAAATCAGTGCTGAGGGGCTGACCCAGAGATGTCAGGGGGATGAGAGCTAGTTTCTTTAAAACATCTGTCTAGATGCACACATAGAGGTAATCAGCTTGGCCACTCACTTGAGGCAGATGGAATTGGCCCTCTCTTTCATTCCCAGCCTGCGCATGTCCGCCCTCCTGGGAGGTGGGGGCCTGGAAGAAATACAGAGCAGCCATGGCATGGAGGCATGGTTTTGGTCACTGCATTCTCTCTCGGGGCCTCAGTCTTCCCAGCTGTGCCATGTGCGGGGAGGGGTCCTTTCAACTCTGGGAGCTGGGGGAGGGCTTCCTGGCATAGACCCCACCCCCCACCCCAACATGGACACAGGCAGGGCTCACCTTTACAGCTGCAAAATCTCCATTCATGAGCCCGGACAGCTCTGCCTCCAGCTACTTTCTGTGTCTCTGATCCGTGGAAGCTCACCCTAAGCCTTGTTCCTGTCTGTGGATCTGGTCACCACCCCCAAAAGATGCTGAAATAGCCCTGGGGAGCTCCCAGCCCACCGCCGGCTGCTGATTGGGGAAACAGGTAAGATGGACAGGGTTAAGGGCCAGTGATACCAGGGCAACCTGGGGGGAGGGGAGAGAAGACCGTTATCTTGATGTTTTGTGCTTTTCCTGCAGGCAGGGGACAAAGGCCAAAGTCTGGGGTGCTTCTGCTCTGCTGTGACCTCTTCCCTACTTTTGGGGACTGTTTCTTATCAGAGTCCTAGACGTCGGAATCCAGGAGAGCCCAGGCTCCTGACTGGGTCCCGTCCACTCCCGGGACAGAACGAAGCAGGAAGACCAACCCAGGCCTTTGCTGAAGCCGGTTCCCCTGCATGAGCGCCCTTTCTTCGTCAGAGCTGGCAACGTCCTACCCTCCCTCCAAGCCCTCCACGGCTGAATCCGTGCAATCGATTCCTTCTAGAATCTTCTGTTCATTTATTCAACAACTATTTATTGAGCCAAACTTGTTTCCACCTCAGGGCCTTTGCATTTGCTGTTCCCTCTGTCTGGAGCTCCCCTCTCCTCCACCGTGACTCTGTCACTGTGCCCACTTATTTGTGAATGTTTTATATTTGTGACTCAGCCCGGGTGGCTGAGAGGCCATCTCTGACCCCAGCAGAGAGGAGACTCCTCTCCACATCTCTTTATCACATCTTTGTCTTCAACGAACCCCGAATTATTTAACATTTTTCTTATTCATGTAATTGACTTGTTTGGTGTCTTCCCTCAGTTCTCCCCACTGCATCCAGAATAAAAGGGACTTAGGAGCTAGAATAGAGTCTCTTCATTTTCTGCTGGGTCTTCTGTGTCCACGAAAGCCTGGTACACAGTAGGTGCTCAATCAGCTCTTACTCATTGAGCACGTCCTATGTGCCAACCACCATTTTAGGTACTAGGGGTGAGGCAGTGAACAAGCTAGACCATAAATGTATAAACAAATCAGTAAGCAGATAAATGGGTTAAGTACTATCGAGAAACTAAATGTAACCATAGTAAAGGGCAACCTTTTAAAAGGTGACATTTAGCCCTGGCCGTTTTGGCTCAGTGGTTAGAGCGTTAGTCTGCGGTCCAGAGGGATCTAAGTTTGGTTCCCGCTAAGGGCATGTACCTCAGTTGCAGTTTGTCCCCGGCCCCTGGATGGGTTGTGCGGATGGCAACCACTCGATGTGTCCCTTTCACGTTGATGTTTCTCTCTCTCTGTCTCTCTCTCTCTCTCTCTGTCTCTCTCTCTCTCTCTCTCTCTCTCTGTCTCTCTCTCTCTCTCTCTCCCTCTCTCCCTCCCTCCCACTCTATCTGAACAAAAAATGAAAAAATGTCCTTGGGTGAGGATAAAAAAAAAATAAGTAGAAGGTGACATTTAGCCCTGGCCAGTTTGGCTCAGTGGTTAGAGTGTAAGCCCTTGGACCAAAGGGTTTCATTTCCTGGTCAAGGGCACGTACTTGGGTTGCAGGTTCAATCCCCAGCCCCAGTGGGGATTGTGCGGGAGGCAACCAGTCAAAGTGTCTCTGTCACACTGATGTTTCTCTCTCTCCCTCCCTCCCTCCCTTCCCCTCTATCTAAAAAGCAATGGAAAAATATCCTCAGGTGAGGATTAACAACAACAACAACAAAAAGGTGACATTTAAGTACAGTCCTGAATGAATGATGAGAAAGAGACAGCCATGGAGAAATCTAGAGGAAGGATGTTGTAAGCCAAAGGGAAAAAAAAACAAAACCCAGCATATGCAAAGATCCTGGGGCAGAACTGTGCTGGTATGCTGGAGGAACAGCAAGGAGGCTGGCGTGTCTGGAACAGAGTGAGCAAGGGGGAGAGCGGAGAAGGTGAGGGCAGGGAGGGGACAGGGGCAGGTTGTGCAGGGCTCCGTGGGCTGTGGCAAGGAGTTTGGCTTATACCAAATATAGCAAGAAGCTGTTGGGAGCTTAGTGAATATGTGGCTACATCAAGACTTCGAGCCCTGGCCAGTTTGGCTCAGCGGTTAGAGCGTCGGCCCTGTGGTCCGGAGGGACCCAGGTTCCCGCTAAGGGCATGTACTTCGGTTGCAGTTTGTCCCCGGCCCTGGTTGGGTCGTGCGGGTGGCAGCCACTCCATGTGTCCCTTTCACGTCAATGTTTCTCTCTCTCTCTCTTCCTCTCTCTCCCTCCCACTCTTTCTGAACAAAAAAATGGAAAAATGTTCTCGGGTGAGGATTAAAAAAAAAAGACTTCTGTATGCCAGGCATGATGCTAAGAGCTAGGTTTACACTCTCCTTGCTCCCAAGAAATTCACATCCTGGTTTATATTTCTCAATGCATCGGTCATTATTTATTCATGCAACAAAAATTAAATGAGGACCTACTATGTACCACACATAATGTGATTCTTTTATCCAACAATAACTTACATTACAGTTGTTCCCCCAGGGGGCACTGGGCGATGTCTGGGGACATCTGTGGTTATCACGACTGAGCGATGCTCCTGGCATTGAGTAGGTGGGGGACAGGGATGCTGCTCAGCACCCCACATGTCCAGGACAACCCCACAGAGAGTGACCCGACCCCAATGTCAGCAGTGCCAAGGGAGAGAGACCCTGCATTACAGTAACTGTCCCCTCGGAATGCTGGTGTCATTATATTGTCTTTGGCTCCCAGATCTTTCTTATTTCCCTTTTAATCCCTCTGGGGTGGATCTTTAAGGGGTTTGTTTGGTTTGGCTTGTCTGTAGTGATCCAGTTATAACATTTCCCCAGCCTCTGCTGTGAAGGCACTATGCCAGGTTAGTCACGCAGGTGTACCAAGTAGGTGAAATCTGACTTCTGGACTTCTCTCTGCCTCCCCCTCAGCCCCATTTATGACTTTCAGGAGTCCCTGTTCCCTTGAGATAGAATTCTTCATCCTACTCTTATGAAAATCTACCAAAAAAAGGGTGTGGGATTACTCACTTAGGTCCTCTTGTAGATTAAGTCCCTCCCAGTCCCCCTCCCCAGAATTTTTTTATTTCTTTACATTTGTATAATTATAGACTTCAGAAGGCTTTTTTTTCATCCTCACCAGAGGACATTTTTGCATGTATCTTCAGATAGAGCAGGAGGGAGAGAGGGGGGAAGAGAAAGAGAGAAACATCGATGTGAAAGAGACACATCGACTGGTTGCCACCCACACGACCCCAACCAGGACCGGGACAAACTGCAACTGAGGTACGTGCCCTTAGCGGGAACTGAACTCAGGACTCTCCAGTCCGCAGGCCGACGCTCTAACTGCTGAGCCAAACGGGCCAGGGCCAGAAGGCTTTTATACACCCCAGTGAAGAAATATCTGAACAAGTAGGATAAAGATAAACATTGGAGGGACAGCAGGACTTTTTGATACCCTTGACATCACATTATCCCATTGACTAAATACAACCACTACTTCAAAGTAATTCTAAGTTGGAATCTGAAGTAAAATTGCCATAATAGATTCCACCAATATGTTTAAGTGTGAAACACAACCCCTAAAGAATGCTGTGATCAAACAAGATTAAGGAACACTGTGTTAATAAATAGCTTTGCAAAATTTATCAGATCCTTTATACTCCTGGAGGGGACAGAGTCTGTAGTACTCCCCAAACATAATTGTATAGATTGCTTTGTTTTGTTTTTTTTATTTTTATTTTTTCCTCACCCGAGGACACCTTTGCATTTATCTTCAAATAGAGTGGGAGGGAGAGAGGGAGGAAGAAAGAGAGAGAAACATCGACGTGAGACAGACACATCAACTGGCTGCCACCCACATGACCCCAACCAGGGTGAGGACAAACTGCAACCAAGGTACGTGCCCTTAGCGGGAACTGAACCCAGATCTCTCTGGTCTGCGTGCCGATGCTCTAACTGCTGAGCCAAACCGGCCAGGACTAAATGTGTTTTGTTTTTAATTTTTACTTGATTTATTCTGAACCATTTCTGACATGAAAATGTTGAAAGATATCCACTAGAATGACTAAAATAAAAAGACAGATAACATCAGATGTTGGTGAAAGCTGTGGAGCAACTGGAACTCTCACCCACTGTTGGTGGGAATCAAAATGGCCCCACCACTTTGGTAAACTTTGGAAAATTGGACAGTCTCTTACAAAGCTAAACATTTATTTACCATATGATAGCAATTTCACTCCTGGGTATTTACCTAAGAGAAATGCAAATGTATGTTCACAAAAAGACTTGCACAGGAATTTTCATGACAACTCTATTCATAATGGTCCCCAACTGGAAAGAATTCAAATATCCAACAACAAGGGAATAGATAAATGAACTGGTATATCCATATCACACAATACTACTCAGACAACACTTGCCAAATTAAACACACCTAACACCTGCATCATTATTGTAAATTAATTCTACCTCAATAAAAATTATAGAAAATATATAATAAACAACCATGCATATAAAGCATTTAGTAAAACTTTAGAAACAACCAAAATATCCACCAATAGCACACTGATTAAAAGTCTGATGCATTCACATAATGGATTATGTAGCTGTGAAAATGAATAAGGATTATTTGTATGTACCAATAGAGGACAATATTGAAAACACTGATGCACCATATACTTTATTTATTCATTGTGGTATGCATACATTCAACACACTTAAGAAAATATTTATTTATTATGTTTTTATTGATTTTTTTAGGGGGAGAGAGAGAGAGAGAAACATCAATGTGAGAGAGAAACATTGATTACCTGCTTCCTGCACGCCCCCTACTGGGGATCGAGCCTACAACCCAGGCATGTGCCCTGACCGGGAATTGAACCAGGACCTCTCAGTCCATGGGACAATGCTCAATCCACTGAGCCACACCGGCCCAGCTCAACACACATTTATTGTCTATTCTGTGTCAGGCAACAAAGATGTCTTTTTCTCCTTCCCTTCATCAATATTGGTTCAGGAGCTTAGCTAGTCAGAGAGAGGAAGGGGTGTGGGATGAAG